TGATTATAAGATATAATACAATCCGGTAACATTGTGATTATAAGATATAATACAATCCTGTAGCTAGTAAACAGTTTGTTGTGATCGAGATGTCTCTTTAAGCAGAAATTGTTACAGTTGAGCACATTAAGTACATGCACATTAAGAACACACCATTAAGTACCCCGCTGTCCTGAGTGCATTAGATGATCGTAACGTGACAGAGAGTCCCTCATGATAGAGATTCTGCTTCCAATCCATTTGTACAGGTAAGCCTCGCCCTAGACCCACTTACGTCAGCTAACCCTAACCATTACAACTAAAAGGAGGGGGGTTTCTGTAATACAGACCCTCAGTGTCGTTACAACGGTCCTGATCGCAGAGGGGTTTTAGCCAGTTATTTTTTTCCCTAAGGTTTAGAACAACAGTTAAGTTTGCTTTGATACAAGGTATTTCAATAGTAGTCCCATTAAATGAATGATTCGTGTTGTATATATACTCTCCAGCAGAGATGTTCCGTACGTACTTGGCTGTACAAACTCGCCTTAGTGTCAGCCGGCCTGTATCCAGCTTTGTATTAGAAGTAATGACAAAAACCAATGATGCCTTAAAAAAAATTTACACCCTTTTCTTTAAATGAGTTGTGCTCGAAGGTTCGTCATAGTGTTCTTTTTTATGTGGTTTTATAAGGCTTCCCTAGGAAACGCTGCATTATGTGAGAGGGCGACCTTTATTACACAGATAGCTTTTAAAATTCAGTCACTTTTAAATTATAGTCAGCAAAAAAGCAAAATGTAATATATGACATTTTTTCCACACAAGAAATAGTTTTATATTTAACAATGTCTTCCATAATCTTAAGTGAAGCGTGTTATGTCACCTTGTTTCTTTTCAGACGTAGGCAATTTTTCTTTTTACGGCTTTCCTCGAGGTTCTTGATAATTTCGGGTTGCTAAGTTTTTTACTATTTATAAATAGTATAAATAGCCATTGTGTCAGTTGTGCATTCCATCAATGGCAGTAAACTCAGTTCTGCCAATGGAGGTTATCATGTTTTCATCAGCGTTTGTTTGTTTGAGGACACGTATTCCAATAGATCTTAGCCAATTACGGTGTCATATTCAGGATAAGCATTCATACAGAAAGGGGATGATTGAAAACAAGTTCAACTGAATCAGTTCCTCCTGAAATTTTCAAAGTATTCTTTTAGTTTCTCAATATATACATGTGCATTGTGTCTTGGCGGATGTCCACCTTCCTGGAGTGCTCTCTAGGTTTTCAAGGCAGAAAAGAAACGTCGCCTGCCAACGTCAAAGTCTTCCACTTCGTGAGAGTCCGCCGCATACGCTCTCAAAGGCTACTGTACAATAAACGTCTCTTTTAAATTACATGCCGCTCCATGACTTTGGAATTTGTGCAGCAAACTGCAATCTGAAATTAAAAGAAAAAAATCATACAATGTTGCAAACAGTGCTATGTAGCAAATAGAATTCTGTAGGAAATTTTCCTCAATTGCACAGACATATCATATCATATCCAATGTCGCCGAGTTGGCAAAAAATCTCGATTTTAAATTAAGAAATTTAATGAACAGAAAATATTATATCTAGACAAGGTGTCAATAGTTTTAAAGTTTCTCAAACATTTCAGCAATTATCAATTCAAAATAAGGGATGGAAATTGCAGTTATAACATTGCAGCGTTGAAATGTTATAGGGTGATAAAAATGTTGGGAATCAACTAACCAACTTTGTAAAAACTGAAAGCAAGGTTATCGGGCAGGATCAACCCAAGCTGGATGATATTTGTAAAGACAGAATGGAGAAAAAAAAACTTTTAACACCATGGAAGACACTTCTCACCCAGCATCATCACTTTTTTACCAAGCAATAGTAGATTCAACTTTCAAAAGGCAGTAAACACTTTTTAGTTTTTATCTGAGTGCAGTGATGCATTTTAATATGGCCTGTAAACCAGATTCTTAATTTATCTATTTATTACTTTTACTCTGTATATTATCAAACTTGCTCCAAAAGAAAAATGAAATCGCAATTTTATAATTGGCTGAATACATTTATATCTTATCTTAACCATTATAGGTAAATAGAGGGCATGGTTTCTGTTACACCTAGGATAGAAGATGTATATTTGGGTCGTAGGTTACACGGACCCTTAGTTTCGTAACACTGGGACATATCAGTGTACTAAAGTCCGCCGCAAACAGAACAATTTTTCGTCGGCCGACACACCTACGACAAAATATCGGCCTGTCTGCGCTGCTCCACGACAACTTTTCAACTAGTCGGTAGAGAATCAAACATGTTTAAAAGGTTGAACATTCTGGTGCCATCGTTCTCTATAAAATAGTGACAAGTTTACAAGCTACCGGGGCTGACATTGATTACGTGCAATTTTCTTTGGCGCCAGCAGAGAATCATGTCATAAATTAGCCGGTGACATAAGCATATATGTGAA